TCGATTATCTATGGCTTCTCCTTTCTGAAAGCGTTGGGATTGACCAGCACCACCCCGGGATTATCCCCCCGCCGTGAGGATTTGCAATGTACACGGAATACTGCCTCATCGTGAATTTTAGATGTGACCGCGTACCATCCCAGCCGAACCGGGCTCGACCCCCCTCCACCATTTCCCGCGAAAGAAACATTATGCGGGCACGCTCGTGTATCAATAACCATACATATCCCCCCAAACAAATCGTGGCCAAAAACGGGAACAACTGCACACGCGCGCGTCGTCACGCGCGCGTGCCGTGTGTTCTCGCGTCGATGTAGAATGTTTCTATATCCAAAGCATTCGATGTCGTAGGTATTTCAATATCGAATGCTCCGGACACATAAACAACATGGTTTTGCTACATCAATTGTCATACAAAGATCAGCGCGCGGTCTCTAGCGAATGCGTCAAAATAATCATCTTGGCGAAGGGACCAACCATGTGCAGTTGTGGATACCGCAATTGTGCATATGTTTTTCGGTGAAGCTCCCTATGGGGCCACGAAGTGCTGCACTGGGTGGGGGGAACGCATGCGGGCGGTAGCACTGGGGCCGTCGGTGGAGCTCCCTACGGGGCCACGAAACGCTGTACTTGGTGGTGGGGCGCATGCGACGGTAACACCGGGGCCTTCGGTCGAGCTCCCTATGGGGCCGTGAAACGCTGTACTGGGTGGGGGTGGCGCATGCGGGCGGTAGCAGGGGGCCGTCGGTGGAGCTCCCTACGGGGCCACGAAACGTGGGACGCATGCGGGCGGTAGCGCTGGGGCCTTCGATGGAGCCCCCCATGGGGCCACGAGACGCACAACTGGGTGGGGCCGTCTGTGGAGTTCCCTTTGGGGCCACGAAGCGCTGTTCTGGGTGGGGGGACGCATGCGGGCGGTAGCACAGAGGCCTTCGGTGGAGCTCCTCATGGGGCCACGGAGCGCTTTTTCGGGTGGGGGGGATGCATGCGGGCGGTAGCACCGAAGCGTTCGGTGGAGCTCCTTATGGGGCCACGGAGCGCTGTTCCAGGTGGGGGGGATGCATGCGGGCGGTAGCGCTGGGGCCGTCGGTGTAGCTCCCTACGGGGCCACGAAACGCTGGGTGGGGGGGACGCATGCGGGCGGTAGCACGTGCAGCACAGGGGCCGTCGGCGGAAATCCATGTGGGGCCTCGAAACGCTGTACTGGGTGGGTGGGGGCGCCTGCGGGCAGTAGATCTGGATCCCTCGGTGGAAATCCGTATGGGGCCACGAAACGCTGTATTGGGTGGGGGGACGCATGCGGGCGGTAGCACAGAGGCCGTTGGTGGAGCCCCCCTTGGGGCCACGAGACGCGTGGTGGGTGTGCCAAAATGGTTGCGGGGGACGCACGCGGGCGGTGGCACTGGGGCCTTCGGTGGAGCTCCCAGTGGGACCACGAAACGTTTGAGGGGTGTGCCGAAATTGGTGTGGGGGACGCATGCGGGCGGACGCACAGGGGCCTTCGGTGGAGCGCGCGCGGACGGTGGCACTGGGGCCTTCGGTGGAGCTCCCTACATGGGGCCACGAAGCGCTGTACCGGGTGGGTGGAAATGCCATATTGGGTATCGGGACGCACGCGGACGGTCCCACTGGGGGTTTCGGTGGAGCTCCTTTTGGGGCCACGAAGCGCTTTACTAGGCGGGTGAAGCGCAGGGAGGATGGGGAGGAGGGGGGAGGGGAAGGAGGGAGGAGGGAGGGAGTAAGGAACGCGAGGCGCTGCCTCTTCAAAACGAGGACCCAACACCACAGGATGGCTGGGAGAAAAAAAACGCAGTGCACACTTGCACGTCGTCGCGCGCGCATGCCGAAACCCCAAACCACCTACGGTTTCGTAAGGTTGCCGAAAAATATGAACAACACAAGTAAATACACATGGTTTCGCAACATGAATTTTGAAAGACCCGCCAAAAATAACCGGACGAAAAACCCAACCATATGCAGATGCGAATACCGCAATTGTGCTGGGTGGTGGCGGACGCATGCGGGCGGTGCCAGTGGGACCTTCGGTGGAGCCGCGTTTATGGGGCCACGAAACGCTGTACTGTGTGGGCGAAACGCAAGGAGCAAAGGCAGGCTGTGCTCGGTGGAAGCGGACGCATGCGGGCGGTGCCAGTGGGACCTTCGGTGGAGCTCCTTTTGGGGCCGCGAAACGTTGTACTGGGTGGGTGAAACGCAAGGAGCAAGGGCTGTGCTGGGTGGTGGCGTACCCATGCAGGCGGTGCCACTGGGACCTTCGGTGGAGCTCCCTATGGGGCCACGAAGCGCTGTACTGGGTGAGCGAAACGCAGGGAGCAAAGGCAGTGCTGGGTGGTGGCGGACGCATGCGGGCGGTGCAAGTGGGACCTTCGGTGGAACTCCCTATGGGGCCACGGAGCGGTGTACTGGGTGGGTGAAGCGCAGGGAACACGGGCTGTGCTGGGTGGTGGCGGGCGCATGCGGGCGGTGCCACTGGGACCTCCGGCGGAGCTTCTTATGGGGCCACGAAGCGCTGTACTGGGTGGGCGAAGCGCAAGGAGCAAAGGCAGTGCTGGGTGGTGGCGGGCGCACGCGGGCGTTGCCAGTGGGACCTTCGGTGGAGCCCCCTTACGGGGCCACGAAGCGCTTTACTGGGTGGGTGGAACGCAAGGAGGAGGAAGGGAAGGAGGGAGAGGGAGGAGGAGGACAGGAGGAGGGAAGCGGGGACCGTCTCTTCAAAACGAGGACCCAACACCACAGGATGATTGGGAGTTGTTTGAAACCGTACAAAACGTGCGTTCGCCTTCCTGCATCTGCTCAAGCAGAAAAACACTTACGTTTCAAACAATAACGTGCGACCGAAATGGCCCTTCGCGCGCGCATGTCGGAATCGCTCGAACGCCATTGCACGCGCGTGTCGCAAACCCCTGTCAAAATTCGGATGAAGTGCGCACGCGCGCGTCGTCGCGCGCGCATGCCGAGATCGTTAAAAAACCTATCTGGTGTCGTGAATTCAGATTCGACTGGCCCGAAAACATTACCCCAAAAACGGTTTGGCAACATCCTGGTTTTGAAGATGCCTGCGTTCGCTCTCCTGCGACGTATGAAAAGAAAACAGGGTTCAAACCTTCCATCAAATTATACAAAACGGGTTTTTCCCGCCGCGCGTCGAAACCATTCGAACGCCCTTGCGCGCATGCCAGGGGTGGGCACGATCCGTGTCAAAGAATACCACGCGGGCCACTTCCGCGTGTCGGCCGCGCGCGCATGTCGAACTCCCCCCAAAACGTCCATCCCCGACGCGACGGCACGATCAAGGTCGGCGGCGTGATCTGCATCGGCGCTGTCAGTGGCATTGCCGTCGTCGTCGTCATCATCGTCACGACCACCGCTGCCATCATCACCTGCGTCTGCCGTTGTCGGTGTTGCCACGATACCGCGTCCGCCCAAGTCGCCGACTCGCACTGAAGTGCCCGGAGGTCAGCGCCACCGCGGCCGCGTCGGCGGCGCCACATTATCTGGCAGCTGTGCGCGCGAGCATACGCGGACCAACGCGGCCGCAAAGATGCTCCAGCCAACACCGAGCACTCAGCGCTATCGCCGCCGCATGAGCTTTACAAACCATTTTGCGGGTGGGTGTGTGGATAATTGCGCCAGCAGTGGCGTGGACACTGCCTGCGAATACTGATTTAATTGCACTTCGTAGATGGCGCCACGTATATGTCACCACATCAATTGCACAACGTAGACTGCACCACATCGATTGCACAACATAAGTCGGACCACCCATATTTACAAAGCTGATGGATCTACATAAACTGCGCCACCTGTACTGCGCCCAGTGTACGCGTACACACATTTATATATATATATTGTTTATGAATGTTTATATATACACACGTATATATATGTATGAGAGTGAGAGGGCTAGACGGTCATTCATTGTCCCTGGGTGCGTGGCTTGAAAGAGAATCCGCGACCCTGCCCGCGACGCACCCGCGACCCGGCCCGCGACCCACCCGCGACCCACCGTCGACCCACCTGCGACCCAACCCGTGACCTATCCACATTGTTTTAACAAAAAGAGTCGGCGCCTGCGGCGGGCTCGTTTTGTAGCTTGAAAAATTATGCGCCTGCGGCGGGCTTCTTCAGAGCCTCGCAGACTGCCGACGTACCCGCCGCCCCCTCACTCGTACCCGAAACTGCGGGGGGATACGGTATACAAATATACTGCGCCGAGAACGGACAATTCACTAATCGACGTGTCAGGGTAGGAGGTCTGTCCACCCCCGACCCCTCCCCTCTGCATCCCCCCCCCCGCAATGTTTTGGGGACGCGTAAGACTCGGGTTCCGGGGAGGCGGGTTGGTCTGACGGGGCCGTGAAGAATTGTCGAATTTCAGCCTGAAAGTTGACGCGAGCTCACGCTGCAGGCATCTCATGAAAACTGGACCGGCTGAGTTCAGGACTGGCCCAACCAAGAAACGTCGGCACGCCCGATCTCCCCGGCGAGCTGCAATCTTAACCCTGCAAGGTCTTGAGAACGTCCCCCCCAATAGAGGGTAACACATCATTTTTCAGGCGGCCTTATTGAAGGACTGGGGTTCTACCAAGAGGGGGGAAGTAATATTTGTTCCGCGCCACCCGCCACGCAACGACGGCGACGACGACGACGACAGCTACGACTACGATTGCGACTACGACCACGACTACTACCACGACTTCATGCCCCAGGAGCAGGAGAGGGAAAAGGAGGAGGGGGAGGAGGAGGAGGGGGGAAGAGGGGGGAGGATGAGGAGGAAGAGGTTCTAGGACCAGTCCCGTAGGCACCGCCGAAAGAGAAGGGGGGGTCACCGCGTGGGTCTACGGACATTCTACGTATGAGTATATGGTTCGTAGATTCGACGTCAATTTTCAAGTGTGGGGTAGATCAATTATGTAGTCATTCTCCGACTCGAACTCTTGCGGAACGCCCGACAGCTACGCCTACGATTGCGCGGAGGAGGAGGAGGAGGAGGAAGAGGAAGGAAAAGGAGGAGAGAGGAGGAGAAGGTTTTAGGACCAGTCCTGTGAACCGCCGAGATAAAAAGGGGGGGGATCAAACCTAAAGACCTCTAGCGGCTCGTGCGGCACGCCCGACCTCCCTGCGGGCCTCCGACCACGATCCCTCTGGGCAGCGGGCCCCGGAGGAAGCCGCGGGCCCGGAGCTCCGCTGCGCCACGGAGGACAGCGCCCGCAGCTTCGAGCCCGCCTCCTCGCGACGGCGCTCTCTCTCAGATCTGCCTTTTTTGCTGTGTTTGTTGTCTTGTTTGTTAGTTTGAGCTTTTTCTTTGTAATGGGGAAGAGCGTTTTCTTGTTCGGCTCTTCGACGTTGGGCGAAAGGTGGGGGGAGAGGAGGGGGGGGGTCTGGCTCCGGACCAAAGCTTCGTGCGACTGTTTGGAGCCGTGCGTTCCTGGGGGGAGACTCCACCTGCTCCGAGATCTGCTCCATGGGGGAGGGGAAAAGGTTGCGACGGCCCGCCCCGATCGGCAGAACGATTATTCAGAAAACGATGCGTTGATTTGTTTTGTGTGTTGTTTTTTAGACATAAAGAACAACACATTCGACACCACAGAAAAACAAAAACGCCTGGAGAGCCATATAGACCCCGTCTTTCTGCGCGATCTGCTCTGCTGCCGAGCCGGATCGATATGTGAGGGTCCCGGGTAAGACGAAGCCAGGACGAAGCTCAATTCGGGTGAGGACAAATCGAGAATTTCTGAAATCTGGCGGCTCTGGAGGATGTCTCTCGGGCGCCGCGGCCTTCTCAGAGCGCTCCGGAACGCCGTTCGGGAACGCCCTGGAACGACTTGATGCTCGTCCTCGAGCCCCGTCCGATGGACCCCGGGAGCCTCCCCGGGACAAACTTGTTTGATCACGAGGCAGCCCCAAAATCTCCCAGATGGCACCCAGGCGGCCCAAGAGAACCCAATACGATCCAGGAGAGTCCCAAGAGGGACCCACGGGAGCCCCGTCCGACCAGGGCCCGAAATCCGGCAAACAAAAAAAGCCCGATTTAAAAATAGACAGGCGCGTTCCACTCCTCGCAAAGTAACTACTGGCAAATGGACTGGATCTGGAATCTGCCATTGGGGCTTTGCGACACATTACCTCGAGGCAAGTATCTGTGCATTTTGGACGTTTGCGAGCAGGCACTTTGCGAGCATCGATGATCCTCAGAACGTGTGCTAACCCCAACGTGTGTTTGTCCATCGAGGCCCTTCGATACGACGCAGGCGATGTAATGATCTACTGGTTGGGTTGAAGGAAGCAACACGCACATTTGAACTGGGACCGGCCATCCCGTCATTCCTATAGGCCTACCACGAAATTTTCTTCGAACGCACATATGTTCGAAGAAGACAAACAATGTCCTCAGAGCAGGATCCCGATGTGCTGAAACAAGACAGTCCCAGCCAGAACTGTTCTGAGAACATCTCGTGGAACCACAAGAGGTTCCTAGAACATCCTCGAGTAGGCCTGTAGGCGAGCCAGGACGCTTCGCCACTGCTCGACACACTGGGCTAGCACTCAGTCGGGCCTGTCCCTCCACAGGGGGGATATTCAAAAAAAGTATGGGGACGACTTGTTTTAGTTGTTTTTAAGCATTTTTGATTCGGGGATAGACAGGCACACCTTTAGTAAAACGTGGTTTAGTGAACACGACCTGAGGCCCAAACCTGGCGGGCGCAAGCCTGGAAAACAGCGGCCACGGCGCCCTCTCGAGAGCCGAAAACGGACAGTTCACTCATCGACGTGTCACTGTTGGGGGTCCTGTCCACCCCCACTTGATGAGCGAGAACAATGGGGCGCGCGCGGTGACAAAAGCTGCCCCGCCGGGAGCCGAGGCCTCCCCCGCGAGCGGCCGCGGCCCCCGGCCGGGCTGCCGGCCCTGGGGCCGCGGAGCCCCGCCGGGGGGCCCTGAAGGTCGGCGCCGCGGCGCCCCCCGGCCGCGCGCCTCCGCTCCTCCGTGCGGCGCCGCTCCCAAGCCTGAAGGGGCCCCAGGACACACAAATAAATACACACAAGTAAAAGTATTCCCCATATTGCCACATATTTCCCGGGTTTTTGTCTTCCCCCCCCCCACTTCCCATCTTCTCCCATATGTTCGGGGGAATCGACGATGAATTGTGTCTGTGTGTTTTTGTTTCCCCTCCTGAAAGCTGCCCCCCCCCCAGCTCCCAGCCCCACGGCCCTCCAGAGAAGCTCGTGGCCCTCGTGCCCGTGCCCCACCTCCTCCTGCTCCTGCTCTTCGCGCTCCCGGGCGCTGCCGACGGTGGGCCTCGCGCGAGGTCTCCCGAAGCGAGAGGGCCCCGAATCTCGAGCGGTCTTGGGCGCTCCTTGTCTTTTTCTTCCTCCTTCCTTCGTCTCCTCCTTTTCCTCCTCGAATTCCTCCTCCTCCCTCCTCCCTCCTCCTCTCCTCCTCCTCCTCCTCCTCCTCCTCCTCCTCCTCCTCCTCCTCCTCCTCCGTCATGTTCCATCCTCCGTCACCACCGCCTGCTCCTACTCTCATCCTCCTTCTCCTCCTTCTCCTCATCCTCCTCCTCTCCTTTCTCCCTGCTCCTTCACCCCTGGATTTTCCTCTCTCGTTGCAGGATCACCCGCCTGAGCAATCCTTCCAGGCATCCTCCTCCACGGAGGGCGACGCGGAGGAAGACGAAAAGGGCTATCGGCAGAGCACACGGATGCACGGGGCCCGACGAAGAAGTGCATGCTGACTACAGTGTTCGACAGTGCGTAAGATGGGAGGTGAAGGCACCTCGGAACGAGAAGGGGACATGATGAAGGTGCGGGCCACGAGGATGAGAAGAGGAGGAGAAGAAGAGGAGGGATGGAGGGAGCAGGAGGGATGGAGGGAGGAGGAGCAACAGAGGAGGAGAGGGGCAGGAAGACGAGGCGGATCAGGAGCAAGGGAGAATGGGAAGGAACAGGCGGACCAGGACGATGAGGGGCGGAATGAGAGGAGGCGAAGCAGGAACACGGGGTGGACGGCTCTCTTTGTCTGGGAGGGGCGGAGGCGATGCGCTCGAGGACAAAAGGCTGGTGCACGGCGCCGCGATGTGCCCAACCCTGGCGCGCCAGGCCCCCGTCCGCCTGAAGTCGGCTGGGCGCTGGGAGGGGCCCGAAGCACACACCAGGTCGGCCGCTCGTCCAAGGAGCTCGGCACATCGACGCTCCAGCTCCCCGACCTGTGGGACGCTGGAGCGCCTGCACACCGCACTCGTCCGTCGAGATTCTGTGAAGGGGCCCCAGGACAAACAAATAGATACACACAAATCAAAAGAGTCCCCATATTTCAAATATTTCTGGGGATTTTTTTGTCTTCCCCCCCACTTCGCATAGTTTCGCATATTTTCTGGGGAATCGACGATTAATTGCGTCTGTGTGTTTTTGTTCCCCTCCTGATTCTGGGCGGCCAGGGGACGACTGTGCACACGACGAGCCCCTTCGAAGGCGCGCCAAGGTGCGAGGACGATGCCGCGGCGCCCAGCCGCCGCCGGCGGGAGCGGTGCGCCTGGCGGCGGGGGACCACGCTCGACAAAAGTCACCCCCTGGTCCCCTCCAGGGCACACTCCCGGTCAGTATCTCGAGCTGCTGAAGGGACCCCAAGACACACAAATAAATACACACAAATAAAACTGTTCCCCATGTTTTCCCATATTTTCTGGGTGTTTGTCTCCCCCCCCCACTTCCCATATTTTCCCATATGTTCGGGGGAATCGAGGATTAATTGTGTCTGTGTGTTTTTTCGTCTCCTGAACCACGCTCGATAAAAATCACCCCCTGGTCCCCTCCAGGACACAGTTTTGAGCAGTATCTCGAGCTGCGTTCAGCCGTGGCCACAGGGGGGAGCCGAAACCAAACAAACATACAAACAGACACAGATGAGCCAACAACGGCATGAACATACGTTTCGGAACTCCGTGCAGATTGCAGGGATCGGCGCTGGGACCCCCCCTCCCCCGCGCGCGGTGGACCTCCCTCCCTGGCGCGAAGAGCGCGCCAGCGGCGCCGCTGGAGGCGCCGACAGTGGGGCCCAGGTCCCATCCAAGAATCCACTCGGAGCTCCGACAGACTATTATGTTTACAGCCGGATTTGGCTGGAGAGGTCACGCGAGAGAGCAGCGGCGAAGGCCGCGGCGCGGCGCGCGGAGGCGGCGCGGCGCGCGGCGGCGAGGCTGCCTGCGAAGGCTGCGGCCAAGGCTGGCGGCGAGCGGCGGCTCCCCCGCTCGCCGGTCCTTCTCTCCCCCCCTTCTGGTGCAAATTCGGCTGTGAGCTTCCACTCCTCCGCGGTTCCAGCCGCCACGCGCTGGCCTTCCAGACCCGTCTGCGGACGACGTCCAGCGCAAGCGGCGAAGGCTGCGGCGAGGCGGCCAGCGGCGAGGGCCGCGGCGCGCGGCAGCGCCGCGGCTGGCAGAGAAGGCCGCGGCGCGCGGCGGCGGCGGGGCCAATGGCGAAGGCTGTGGTGCAGCGCGCGGCAGCGGCGAGGCCGCGCTTGCGGCGAGGCCACGCTTGTGGACGGCCCCCGGGCCAAACGGCGGCGGGGCGAGTCCACCGCGCGGCGCACTCGCTCCTGGGCGTCCTCGTCCACCTCCAGCTCGTCGTCCTGCCAGGCCTTCAGCTTTTTCTCCGGCGGTTCCTCGGGGGCCTGTGCGGGCGGGATCTCGCGCCTCCCTCCTCCGTTTCCTCCTCCTCCTCCTCCTCCTCCTCCTCCTCCTCCGCCGCCGCCGCCGCCGCCGCCTCCGCCGCCGCCGCAGCCGCAGCCGCCTCCCCCGCCTCCTCCTCCTCCTCCTCCTCCTCCTCCTCCTCCTCCTCCACCTCCTCGTCCTCCTCGTCCACCTCGTCCACCTCGTCCTCCTTCTCTGTCCTCCTCGTCCTCCTCCTCGTTCTCCCCCTCCTCCTCCCCTCCTCCTCCTCCTCGTCCTCCTCCCCTCCTCGTCGTCCTCCTCGTCGTCCTCCTCCTCCTCCTCGTCCTCCTCCTCCTCCTCGTCGTCGTCGTCCTCCTCCTCCTCCTCCTCCTCCTCCTCCTCCTCCTCCTCCTCCTCCTCCTCCTCCTCCCTCCCACTCCTCCTCCTCCTCCTCCTCCTCCTCCTCCTCCTCCTCCTCCTCCTCCTCCTCCTCCTCCTCCTCCTCCTCCTCCTCCTCTTCCTGCCACTCATCCTCCTCCCCCCCCCGAACCTCCTCCTGCTCCTACTCCTCCCCCTGCTCCTCCTGCCCCTCCTGCCCGTTCTGGTTCTGGTTCTGGTTGAGGCGCACCCAAGTGGGGCGCGTTGGCGCCGAAACCCCGGGCAAAGGGCAGGCATGCGCAGTCCCGAATAGGGTGTTGGCAGTGGGGCAAGTGCCCGGCGCGCGTGCCCGCTCCCAGGGGGGCCGGGCGTCGCTTCATGCGAGACAGTTGCACGGGGCCCCCTGGGAGCCGCGCCTGCCACGCCGCCACATGGCGGAGCGCCAGTGCGCGAGCGCAAGTGCGCGCGTTGCCAATTGGCCGCATCGAAACAGGGATCCTCGTCGTCCCCCCCCCACCCCGCCACAGCTCCGCCACCGCCAGCCTGGCGAGGGAACAGGGGAGAGGGAGGAGGGCGGCGGGAGGAGACGCCCCGGGGAGGGGGCAGCCGGGAGGGCGACAGGACGGCGGCGACGACAGGAGACGACGAGGGCGACGCCGACGAGAAGCAACGGCGACGACGACGACGACGGCGAGGGCGACGGAGACGAAAGGCGACGGCGACGGCGACGAAGACGACAACGACGGCGACAGGGGCGGCGAAACAGCGACGACGACGACAGCCAAGGGACTCGCAGCGCCTATTTGCCAGAAGGGCCCGCGCGGGTGGGAAAAGGGAACGAATTCGCGGCGCGCGCGCACAGCTAGCCCCGGGGCCGGCGGCCGCGCTCTGCGCTCCTGGAGCGGCAGGAGGAGCTCAGGCAGGGGCGGCGGCGGCAGCGGCGGGAGGCAGCGGCCGGGGGCGCCCCAGCAGCCGCAGGGCGACGACAACGACAACGACGACGACGACGACGACGACGACGACGACGACGACGACGACGACGACGACGACGACGACGACGACGACGACGACGGCGGCGGCGGTGGCGGCGGCGGCGGCGGCGGCGGCGGCGGCGGCGGCGGCGGCGGCGGCGGCGGCGGCGGAGGCGGCTGCTCCTCCTGCTCCTCCTGCTCCTCCTGCTCCTGCTCCTGCTCCTGCTCCTCCTCCTCCTCCTCCTCCTCCTCCTCCTCCTCCTGCTCGTGTTGCTCTTCCTGCTCCTTCTGCTCCTTCTGCTCCTCCTGCTCCACATACTCGTCCACATCCTCCTCCTCCTCCTCCTCCTCCTCCTCCTCCTCCTCCTCCTCCTCCTCCTCCTCCTCCTCCTCCTCCCCTCCTCCTCCTCCTCCTCCTCCTCCTCCTCCTCCTCCTCCTCCTTCTCCACCTCCTCCTCCTCCTCCTCCTCCTCCTCCTCCTCCTCCTCCTCCTCCCCCTCCCTCTCCCCCTCCCCCTCCCCCTCCCCTCCTCGTCTCCGCCTCCGCTCCTCCTCCTCCTCCTCCTCCTCCTCCTCCTCCTCCTCCTCCTCCTCCTCCTCCTCCTCCTCCTCCTCCTCCTATCCTCCTGTTCCTCTTCCTCTTCCTCTTCCTCCACCTCCTCCTCCTCCTCCACCGTTTTCATCCATCATCCCTCCTCCCTCCTCCTCCGCCGCCTCCTTCCTCTTCCTCTGAATCCCCAACGCGTGGGAGAAGGGGAGCAGCCTGAGCGCTGCCGGGTGTCTTCTTGCTCGCCGCCTGGTCCGCTGCGGCGGCCTGGATGAAGGCGGGGAGGCGGGCGCGTGGCAGGAACGAGCGAGTGCCGCATGCACGGGGAGGAAGCTGGTCACGGGAAACGCTCACCTACCCCCAATGAGCGTCGATCAAAAACGCATCTTACGCGAGATGACATAGCGACGTTACGCACCGGCTTACGCGGCCGCCAGCGCGGCACGCCACAGTGAAGACGAGGGCCTTTACGCGCGACCTTACGCGGGCAGCTTACGCGCCCATGTCGGTGACAGCGACCCAGTTGGTTGACGTCACTCACCTGGCCTCCCTCCCCCTCTGCGGCTGGGCCAGAGGGTCCCTCCAGCCCTTTGGGGCTTGGGTGATTCAGGGCGATTTCCCTTCCCCTCCCCCCCTTCGGGGAAGGGTTTATGAGTGCTCCCGATTGCTCCCTATTAGAAAACACCCCTCGCCGAGGAGACCAACAGCCAACCAAAACCAATGACAACACCCCCTGACCACCCCTACGCACACGCGCGGGGGGGCCGCGACGAAGGCGAGGTCACCCATCGTCCTCTTCCCCCCCTCCGGAGGCCCATCCGCCCATTTCCCTCCTCCTCAGCCTGCTCCTCCTCCTCCTCTTCCTCCTCCTCCTCCTCCTCCTCCTCCTCCTCCTCCTCCTCCTCCTCCTCCTCCTCCTCCTCCTCCTCCTCCTCCTCCTCCCCCTCTCCTCCTCCCCCTCCCCCTCCCCCTCCCCCGCCCCCCTTCCCCTCCCCCTCCACCTCCCCTCTCCTCCTCCTCCTCTCCTCCTCCTCCTCCTCCTCCTCCTCCTCCTGCTCCTCCTGCTGCTCCTGCTCCTCCTGCTGCTCCTGCTCCTGCTCCTGCTCCTCCTGCTCCTGCTCCCTGCTCCTGCTTCCTCCTCCTCCTCCTCCTCCTCCTCCTCCTCTTCCTCCTCCTCCTCCTCCTCCTCCTCCTCCTCCTCCCCCTCCTCTTTCCTACTCCTCGTCCCCCCCATCCTTCCCCTCCCCTGCTCATCCCCCCCATCCTCCCCTGATGCACCGTATGCTCTTCCACATCACTGGCCAAGGCAACTCGCCTGGGCATCATTTCTGGAAAAGTCTACAATCAGTTCCCAGGTTGGATGTGTCCGGAGGGTCTGAGCTGGCGGTGCCCGAAGAAAATCGGCCAGAAGCGCGGGGATGATGGCAAAACCGCTCAGAGTCGGCCCCTGGACCCCTCCTGGGGTGTTTTTCACCCCCGATCAATGTTTCACTGCCCCGGGGCCCGAACGCGGCTCCCAGACACAACAAACAATATCACACCTTCTCGAATCCAAACCGCGAACCTCTCACCCCTTGGTGGCCAGAACCAATGCTGGGCCACCTCGAACCGCAGCTGGCTCCAACTCCCAGGAGGCCTTCCCACGTAACCGTGATAACTTGACCATACATTCCCCGTGTGATAGTGTTAATAACGCAATCAAGATAACGAGCTCCCAGGGGGCGCACCGACGAATTATCCCCCAGTGATGTCGTAGCACACAACATAATTACACGTCGGTCGGAAGAGGTAGGTAGAAACACGAAGTAGGAAGGCAGATGAAGTAGATTGGGGTTCGGCAGCATACCGATTATTTAAGTAGAAAGGTTCTTGAAGTAACACACAACATAATCAAGCAATTCCCGAGATGGGGGGAGGTAGGGGGAAGGAGGGTGGGTGGAACAGGTAGGTGCGCTAGCATCACATCTGACGTCCTACCCCTCCCTCCCATCCCTTCCCATGGCGTGGATCTCCTATCTGTTCACACAGCGGGGTGTCGAGCGGGCCAATGACCCCAAGAGGGTACGCGATGGATTGAAACGCATGGCGTAGAAGAGAACGGTAGAGTACAGCATGTCATAGCATGACCTGGCATTGCGTAGTGAAGCATTGCACCACCCAGCATAGCAACGCAAAGCATGATATCGCACAGCCGTGCACAACACAGCATCGCATTGCATGCCGTGGCATGGCACCGAATTACTTGGAGGGCAACTGGACCGTCTACGAGAAGAAAAGGCCTGTCCGAAATGCCAGCTGCATGTCCTCCGCAACCGTGCCTGCCCGATTTGGGCGCTTTCGAATGCAAAGTACCGCCCAGGGGCGCGGGAACGAGAACAACAGCTGCAGCGTGAACATCAATTTAGAAGGACAAGAAACGACCGGATAAAAAAAACACACACACAAAAATGGGCAACACAAGAACAGCTAATGAGCACCTGCGTAAAATTAGCCTGGCGAAGAACCCAACCATATGCAGTTGTCAGTACCGCAGCTGCGGGTTTCATCTTCAGTGGAACTCCCATAGGACTACGGAACGTGTGAGGGGTGTGTCGAGATGGGTGCCACTGGGGCATTCGGCGAAGCTCCCTATGGGGACATGAAACACGCGCGGGGCGTGCCGACATGGGTGGCGGAAACGCATGTGAAGGCCGCCACTGGGGCCTCCAGTGGAGCTCCCTATGGGTCCCCGAAACATGATGCTGCTGCGGGGGGGGGGCTGGGATGGGTGGCACAGACGCATGTAAGCGCCGCTACTGGGGCCTTCGGTGGAGCTCCCTATGGGGCAACGAAGCGCGTGAGGGGTGTACTGGGATGTGTGGCGGGGACGCATGTGAGCGCCGCCACTGGGGCCTTCGGTGCAGCTCTCTATGGGGCCACGAAACGTGTGAGGGGTGTGCCGAATTGGGTGCGGGTGGTGACGCATGCGGGCGGTGCCACTGGGGCCTTCGGTGGAGCTCCCTATGGGGCCACGAAACCTGTTGTTGTGAGGGGCGTGCCGGGATGGGTGGCGGGGACGCATGTGAGCGCGGCCGCTGGGGCCTTCGGTGGAGCTCCCTATGGGGCCACGAAACGTGTGAGGGGTGTGCCGAATTGGGTGGGTGTGGGTGACGCATGTGAGCGCCGCCACTGGGGCCTCCGGTGGATGATGGGGCCACGAAACCTGTGAGGGATGTGCCGAAATGGGTGCGCGGGACGCATGCGCATGTGAGCGCCGCCACTGGGGCCTTCGGTGGAGCTCCCTAATTGGGTGTCGGGACGCATGCGGGCGGCAGCACTGGGCCTTCGGTGGGGCTCCCTATGGGGCCACGAAACGTGTGAGGGGTGTGCCGAATTGGGTGTGCGGGACGCATGCGGGCGGCAGCACTGGGGCCTTCGGTGGGGCTCCCTATGGGGCCACGAAACGTGTGAGGGGTGTGCCGAATTGGGTGTGCGGGACGCATGCGGGCGGCAGCACTGGGGCCTTCGGTGGGGCTCCCTATGGGGCCACGAAACGTGTGAGGGGTGTGCCGAATTGGGTGTGCGGGACGCATGCGGGCGGCAGCACTGGGGCCTTCGGTGGGGCTCCCTATGGGGCCACGAAACGTGTGAGGGGTGTGCCGAATTGGGTGTGCGGGACGCATGCGGGCGGCAGCACTGGGGCCTTCGGTGGGGCTCCCGATGGGGCCACGAAACGTGTGAGGGGTGTGCCGAAATGGAGGATGACGATGACGATGACGATGACGATGACGATGACGATGACGATGACGATGACGATGGATGACGATGATGATGATGATGATGATGAGGAGGAGGAGGAGGAGGAGGAGGAGGAGGAGGAGGAGGAGGAGGAGGAGGAGGGAGGAGGCGGAGGAGGAGCGGGAGCGTGAGCGGGCGCTCTTTTCAAAACGAGGACCCAACACCACAGGATGGTTGGGAAAAATCAATGCGCGGAGAGGACGGGAGGCTCTCCGGGCAGTGTCAGGGGAGAGAGGAGAGTAGTAATCATTCGTACTGCGCAGTTGTGCAGGGGGTGGGGTGGACGACAACGACCACGAGGAGCAGGAGGAGGGCCGGGAGGAGGACGAGGAGGCGGCGGAGCAGGAGGGACGAGGAGGGGCAGGGGGACGAGGAGGGGCGGAGCTTGCCGCCCGCCGAGAGAAGCAAGGGGGGGGGGCCTCAACTCACGAGGGGCGTCGGAGGAGCGGCGGGCGAGCCCTCCCGAGGAGCCCCGGGCCTCTCTGCCAGGACGCGGGCCCCCTCGCCCTCGCCGCCTCCTGCCCCGCGCGCGGCCGAGGCAGGGCCGCACGTCGCCCAGCGCACGCATATATATATATATATATATATATATATATATAAAGTGAATGTATGTGTATATATATATATATATATTCTCATACGCACCTCTCCGAGGGAGTAGAGCTCAGAGGCGATTAATGCGCACGCGTCCGCGATTTGTCTAGGCGTTTCGCTCGGGACATCCTCAAAATTCTGAAAATCGGTGGCACCCCTCACGCAGATCGTGACGTCAGGGTCCAAAAACACATGGAAATTCCAACATTTTAACATACAACCTTCAAAAACACATGGTAATTTCAATAATTGTGACCCCGATTCTCAGGGAATGGCGGTTTCGCTTGAAAAATCCTTCCAAAATCGAGCCCCAGACCCCGCCTCGGAGCCTCCTGGGGGCCTCCTGGAACCTCCTGGGGCCTCCTGGGGCTTTCTGAACCTTCTGGCACCCCAGACCCCGCCTCGGAGCCTCCTGGGGGTCTCCTGAAACCTCCTGGGGCCTCCTGGGGCCTCCTGCGGCCTCCTGGAGCCTCTTGGGGCCTCCTGAAGCCTCCTGGGGTCTCCTGGGGCCTCCTGAGGCCGCCTGGGGCCTCCTGGGGCCTCCTGGGGCTTCAGAACTACATGCACACAGAGACACAAATCACGCCCAACACATCACACGCTAGACAAACATAACACACACACACACACACACACACACACACACACACACACCTACAACACACAAAAAGCACGCACCACACAAAGCATACATCACACACACACACACACACACACACACACACACACGCACAACACTCACAATCCTGGGGCCTCCTGGAGCCTCTTCTGGTATCCAAGTCGGGCCTCCTGAGGCTTCCTGGGGGGTCCTGGTACACACATCGCAAGGTGTGGCAACCCCACTTGCGCTCGAGTGCGACTTCGATGTTGCATTTCACTCCTGCTTCAAACGCCCC